TCCAGGTGTATAATAATCATGTATCTCTCCCTCCTGCGTTCCAGGGAATACAGGTTTAGAAACCTCAAGCGCTCCCAGTAATTGAGGTGTTTTATCTCCGTTATGCGCGCCGTGAAAGTTCTCTGTACATTTTCTAGGTCGGCAATTTCACCTGCCTTGAAAGGTGCTGTTAGAGTGCAGCAATATTCCAGCCTAGATAGAACAAGTGACCTGAAGAGTGTCATCATGGGCTTGGCCTCCCTAGTTTTGAAGGTTCTCATTATCCATCCTGTCATTTTTCTAGCAGATGCGATTGATACAATGTTATGGTCCTTGAAGGTGAGATCCTCCGACATAATCACTCCCAGGTCTTTGACGTTGGTGTTTCGCTCTATTTTGTGGCCAGAATTTGTTTTTGTACTCTGATGAAGATTTAATTTCCTCATGTTTACCATATCTGAGTAATTGAAATTTCTCATCGTTGAACTTCATATTGTTTTCTGCAGCCCACTGAAAGATTTGGTTGATGTCCGCCTGGAGCCTTGCAGTGTCTGCAATGGAAGACACTGTCATGCAGATTCGGGTGTCATCTGCAAAGGAAGACACGGTGCTGTGGCTGACATCCTTGTCTATGTCGGATATGAGGATGAGGAACAAGATGGGAGCTAGTACTGTGCCTTGTGGAACAGAGCTTTTCACCGTAGCTGCCTCGGACTTTACTCTGTTGACGACTACTCTCTGTGTTCTGTTAGTGAGGAAATTATAGATCCATCGACCGACTTTTCCTGTTATTCCTTTAGCACGCATTTTGTGCGCTATTACGCCATGGTCACACTTGTCGAAGGCTTTTGCAAAGTCTGTATATATTACATCTGCATTCTTTTTGTCTTCTAGTGCATTTAGGACCTTGTCGTAGTGATCCAGTAGTTGAGACAGACAGGAGCGACCTGTTCTAAACCATGTTGCTCTGGGTTGTGTAACTGATGGGTTTCTAGATGGGTGGTGATCTTGCTTCTTAGGACCCTTTCAAAGATTTTTATGATATGGGATGTTAGTGCTATTGGTCTGTAGTTCTTTGCTGTTGCTTTACTGCCCCCTTTGTGGAGTGGGGCTATGTCTGTTGTTTTTAGTAACTGAGGGACGACCCCCGTGTCCATGCTCCCTCTCCATAGGATGGAAAAGGCTCGTGATAGGGGCTTCTTGCAGTTCTTGATGAACACAGAGTTCCATGAGTCTGGCCCTGGGGCAGAGTGCATGGCATGTCATTTATCGCCTGTTCGAAGTCATTTGGCGTCAGGATAACATCGGATAGGCTTGTGTTAATCAAATTTTGTGGCTCTCTCATAAAAAATTCATTTTGATCTTCGACTCTCAGTCTGGTTAGCGGCTTGCTAAAAACTGAGTCATATTGGGACTTGAGTAGCTCACTCATTTCCTTGCTGTCATCTGTGTAGGACCCATCTTGTTTAAGTAGGGGCCCAATACTGGGCGTTGTTCTCGATTTTGATTTGGCATAGGAGAAGAAATACTTTGGGTTTCTTTCGATTTCATTTATAGCTTTTAGTTCTTCCCGCGATTCCTGACTCCTAAAGGATTCTTTTAGCTTAAGTTCGATGCTTGCAATTTCTCTGACCAGTGTCTCCCTGCGCATTTCAGATATATTGACCTCTTTTAGCCGCTCTGTTATTCTTTTCCGTCGCCTGTAAAGGGAGCGCCTGTCTCTTTCTATTTTACATCTACTCCTCCTTTTTCTTAGAGGAATAAGCCTTGTGCATACATCGAGTGCCACCGAGTTAATCTGTTCTAGGCATAAGTTTGGGTCTGTGTTGCTTAGTATATCTTCCCAGCTTATATCGGTTAGGACTTGGTTTACTTGGTCCCACTTTATGTTTTTGTTATTGAAGTTGAATTTGGTGAATGCTCCCTCGTGACTAGTCTCATTTTGTCGGTCTGGGGCTCCTCGCATACATGTCTGAACCTCAATTATGTTGTGATCTGAGTATATTGTTTTTGATATGGTGACATTTCTTATCAGATCATCATTGTTAGTGAATATGAGGTCTAGTGTATTCTCCAGTCTAGTAGGCTCTATTATTTGCTGGTTTAAATTGAATTTTGTGCAGAGATTTAAAAGCTCGTGTGAGTGTGAGTTTTCATCAGAGCTGCCTCCTGGTGTTATTACTGCAACAATATTATTTGCTATATTCCTCCATTTTAGGTGCCTTAAGTTGAAATCCCCCAGGAGCAAGATGTTGGGTGCAGGAGCTGGAAGTTTTTCCAGACAGTGGTCAATTTTTAACAGCTGTTCCTGGAATTGCTGGGATGTTGCATTCGGAGGCTTGTAGACTACCACAATGACTAGGTTTTGGTTCTCGACCTTTACTGCTAAAACTTCCACTACGTCATTTGAGGCATTAAGCAGTTCTGTGCAAACAAGTGACTCTGCAATGTACAGGCCAACCCCCCCCTTTTGCCTGTTCACTCTGTCACATCTGTATAGGTTGTAACCTGGGATCCATATTTCATTGTCCAAGTGATCCTTTATGTGGGTCTCAGTGAAAGCCGCGAACATTGCCTTTGCCTCTGCAAGCAGTCCACGGATGAAAGGTATTTTGTTGTTTGTTGCTGGCTTTAGACCCTGTATATTTGCAAAGAAGAATGTTATCGGACTGGTGGTATTGTTGGTGGTATAGTAGCGACCAGTGAAGAGTCGGGGCCAGGAGCTGTGAATCGACCCCTGCAACCACTACTAGGTGAGTACACACACACACACACACACACACACACACACAGGAGATGATAATAATAATTATAATGATAAAAATATTACTATTACTACTGGCAACAGCAAGAACAATAATAATTATATATATATTTTTTTTGCAGAGACGTTTCGACCGACCTTACCGCCCCTGATCAAGTCTGAGAAACCAGCAATTGATGGTAAGGTCAGATATATGTCGTGTCGAATATGTAAAACTGGTCAATTAGCAAGAACTCATTTAAAATTAAGTCCTTTCTAAAATTTTCTCTTATACGTTTAAAGATATATTTTTTTCATTAATGTTGATAAAAATTTTATAATTTTGCACCAAATTAACTTAGAAAACTTACTTAACCTTATTATAACAAGCGCAATTTATTTTAGCCTAACCCAACTAAATATATTTTAGATTTGTTTACAGTTATTTAATACTAAACAAACACAGTGAAATATATTTTTTTCGTTAGGTTCAGAATGATTTTGGCGAAATTATTGCATACACAAATTTTCACTTGTCCTATATGGCAAGATGAGCGTTTCTATTTAAGCCAAGATCGCTGGCCTGCCTCATGGTAAGCGAGAACCACATGACGCTTTAAACCACAGGACCACCCAACCCTACAAGAATTGCACAGCAAGCACACAGCTAGCTGTTGGGCCGATATCCGAGCCTAATTCTTGGGCACGACCTACTTCCACATTGAACAAATGTGACACCTCCTATGACTGCTGCACCTCTCCTGCCATACGGTTTATAAGCTGCTTCTCCGCTCCTATGCCGTATTCTATTCAAGATTGATGGACTGAACACATCGACTCAATGTTGAGGGACTGATTACCTCATTCTCCTCCTGATCTTCAAGTTTCTCCTACGTATGGACTGATGAAGCCACTGTGTGGCGAAACGTTTCCTCAATAAAGATACCCAAGAGTTGCACATGTGTCTAATTTATCAACATGTCGGTTCTCTGAACCATTCATCTACAAACCTACAAGAATGGTGCAGCCAGCACACAGCTAGCTGTTTGGCAGCAATCCGAGGGCATACAGAGGTGTGGGAGCTTCTAAGCTAATTTCATTCTCATCCCTGTCTGGTGTACTAGCCTCACGAGCAGCATTTATATATTATTGTAACCATAAATGCTGTTCGTGAGGCTAGTACACCAAACAGGGATGAGAATGAAATTAGCTTAGAAACTCCCACACCTTCGTATGCCCTCGGATGGCGGCCCAACAGCTAGCTGTGTGCTGGCTGCATTATTCTTGTAGGGTTGGGTGGTCCTGTGGTTTAAAGCGTCAAGTGGTTCTCGCTTAATATGAGGCAGGCCAGTACAACATGTGTTCGAATCCTTGGCTAGTGCAGTGTTGTTAAATTAGACACATGTGCAACTCTTGGGTATCTTTATTGAGGAAACGTTTCGCCACACAGTGGCTTCATCAGTCCATACATAGGAGAAACTTGAAGAACAGGATGAGAATGAGGTAATCAGTCCCTCAACCTTGAGTCGATGTGGTCAGTCCATCAATCTTGAATAGAATACGGCATATAAGCGGAGAAGCAGCTTATAAACCGTATGGCAGGAGAGGTGCAGCAGTCATAGGTGGTGTCACATTTGTCCAATGTGGAAGTAGGTCGTGCCCAAGGGTTAGGCAAGCGAAGAATTCCTAAGTATTAAGATACCAAGAAGTTGCAGTGTCTGACAGGATTGTAGATGAGTGGTTCAAAGAACCGATATGTTGTTAAATTAGACACATGTGCAACTCTTGGGTATCTTTATTGAGGAAACGTTTCGCCACACAGTGGCTTCATCAGTCCATACATAGGAGAAACTTGAAGATGGACTGACCACATCGATTCAATGTTGAGGGACTGATTACCTCATTCTCCTCCTGTTCTTCAAGTTTCTCCTATGTATGGACTGATGAAGCCACTGTGTGGCGAAACGTTTCCTCAATAAAAATACCCAAGAGTTGCACATGTGTCTAATTTAACAACGTATCGGTTCTTTGAACCATTCATCTACAACTCTAGCGCAGTGTTGTTATTGATCAATACCACTTGTTTGTGGTTACAATAATATATAAATGCTGCTCGTGACGCTAGTACACCAAACGGGGATGAGAATGAAATTAGCTTAGAAGCTCCCATACGTCCGTATGCCCTCGGATGGCTGCTGAACAGCTAGCTGTGTGCTGGCTGCGCCATTCTTGTAGGGTTGGGTGGTCCTGTGGTTTAAAGCGTCATGTGGTTCTCGCTTACCATGAGGCAGACCAGTACAACATGGGTTCGAATCCTTGGCTAGCGCAGTGTTGTTGCTGATATATATATATATAAATATATATATATATATATATATATATATATATATATATATATATATATATATATATATATATATATGTCGTGCCGAATATGTAAAACTGGTCAATTAGCAAGAACTCATTTAAAATTAAGTCCTTTCTCAAATTTTATCTTATACGTTTAAAGATATATTTTTTTCATTAATGTTAATGTAAAAATTTATAATTTTGCATCAAAAGAATCTTAGAAAACTTACCTAACCTTATTATAACAAGAGCAATTTATTTTAGCCTAACCCAACTAAATATATTTTAAATACGTTTACAATAATTTAGTACTAAGCAAACACAATGAAACATATTTTTTTCGTTAGGCTCAGAATGATTTTGACGAAATTATTGCATACTCAAATTTTCACTTGTCCTTTATGGCAAGATGAGCGTTGCTATTTAGGCCAAGATCGCAAGTTCTGCCTATTCGGCACGACATATATATATATATATATATATATATATATATATATATATTATATATAAATATATATATATTATATATATATATTATATATATATATATATATATATATATTATAAGAGTATATATGTGATGAATGAATATATAGAGAGTAAAAGAGGTGAAGAGAGTGGTGAGGGAGTTCAAAAGAAAAGCAAATAACAGAGTGGGTGAGGCACTGTCAACAAATTTTGCTGACAATAAGAAAAAAATTTGGAGTGAGATAAATAGGTTACGAAAGCCTAGGGAACGAATGGATTTGACAGTTAAAAACTGCATACGAGAGTTAGTAGATGGGGAGTTGGAGTTGTTGGGAAGATGACGGGAATATTTTGAGGCACTGTTAAATGTTGATGAAGAGAGGGAGGCAGTAATTTGACGCATTGTCCAGGGAGGTATAACATCTTTTAGGAGTGAAGAAGAGCAGGATGTGAGTGTAGGGAAGGTGCGTGAGGCATTACGTAGAATGAAAGGGGTAACGCAGCTGGAACTGATGGGATCATGACAGAAATGTTAAAAGCGGGGGGAGGAACGGGATATAGTGTTGGAATGGTTGGAACTTTCGTTCAATAAATGTCTGGCAGAGAGCGTGTATAATCAATTCCTTTATATAAGGGAAAAGGGGACAACAGAGATTGTAAAAAATTATAGGGAGAAACATTACTGAGTATACCAAGTAAAGTGCATGATAGGGTTATTATTAAAATATGAACAAGGAGGCTTTAAAATGGGTAGGGGATGTGTGGATCAAGTGTTTACATTGAAGCATATATGTGAACAGTATTTAGATAAAGGTAGGGAAGTTTTCATTGCATTTATGGATTTAGAAAAGGCATATGATAGAGTGGATAGAGGAGCAATGTGGCAGATGTTGCAAGTAGTATATGGAATAGGTGGTAAGTTACTAAATGCTGTGAAGTGTATTTACGAGGATAGTTAGGCTCAGGTTAGGGTGTATAGGAGAGAGCGAAATTACCTAGTAGTAAAATTAGTTCTTAGACAGGAATATGTAATGTCATCATGGTTGTTTAACATATTTATAGATGGGATTGTAAAAGAAGTAAATGCTTGGATGTTGGGGAGAGGGGTGAGATTAAATTATGGGGAATCAAATACAAAATGGGAGTTTACACAGTTACTTTTTGCTGATAATAATGTGCTTTTGGGAGATTCTAAAGAAAAGTTGCAAAGGTTAGTGAACGAGTTTTGGAGGGTGTGTAAAGGTAGAAAGTTGAAAGTGAACACAGATAAGAGTAAGGTGATTATCACATTGGAAGGAGGGAGTATGGAAGAAGTGAATGTATTCAGATATTTGTCAGCAGATGGGTTTATGGAGGACGAGGTTAAGCATAGAAGTAATGAAGAAAAAAGGTGAGTGGTACATTGAGGTATCTATGAAGACAAAAAACGTTATCCACGGAGGCAAAGAAGAGAATGTACTACAGTATAGTGGTACCCACTATACTCTAGTAGATTCTAGTACATGGGTTGTGAATGCTGCAGCGAGGAGGACGCTGGAGGCAGTGGAGATGTCGTGTCTAAGGGCAGTATATGGTGTAAATATTATGCTGAGAATTCGTAGTGTGAAAATTACGAGATGTGGAGTATTATTCAGAGGGCTAAAGATGGGTTATTAAGGAGAATTGGTCATTTAGACACGATGGAGCAAAGTAGAGTGACTTGGAGGGTGTATAAATCTGTAGTGGAGTGCAGGATGGGTAGGGGTAGTCCTAGGAAAGGATGGAGGAAGAGGATAAAGAGGTTTTGTATGCAAGGGGCCTGGACATGCAGCAGACCTTTTGCCTCAACTTTTCACATAGTTTGCCAAACAATTGTGATTTATCTGGCCTACATTTTTTGTTTACCATTTTTACAATTTAGTTTAGTACAGCCTGCAACTTACTTGCAGATTGTTCTTGCAACCAGCACCTCACGATGGAGAAAGCAATGTGTTGTCATCACATCACTGTTTTCTCTCTTCACTAATCATACAAATCCATTCATTGAACCAACTGTTAATGCAGCACAATCTGTACAAATTCATACACAGGATTTCCATGACAAACCAACAGCTTCCAAGTACTTTCTTAGCGTAGTGAATATATCTTGGCCTGTTGCTCTTCTTCAGGCTCTTTATAAAAAGCTGGTTTAGTAGTTCATCATTACTAATGTGGTGAATGAATGCTAATAGTTGAGTCTTACCTTCAATATCTGTAGACTCCTTTAGAGTGCAAAATTTTCAGTTTTCTGTACAGAGGCGCACACAGTTTCTTCTGTCTGCTGACAAATCACATATCTGTCTAATAATGGCATTAACTAAGAGTGAATATGATTCAGTTAGGTATCTTTATTACCCAACGTTTCGTACACAGAAGGCTTCTTCAGTCGAATACAGAGAAGGCAGCAGATGCAGTAGTGATGTAAAAACGAGGTAATCGGTCCAACACTCTTGAAGACATACATTTGAGGTGCTCAGTCCTGAGCCTGCAGGAGAGCTCTGCTCCATAGTCTAGAACAATGTTAAGCCCAAGCAACAGTTTAGTTTAATATGTTCTTTATGCAACCCATACCCATCCTGTGGGAGGTAGTCAAAGGATTACGAAAGTACATAATTGATCCAGGGACTGGACCCCAAAGTTTTGATAACTGAACAAGGTACAAAGGTAATGAACTCACAAGTTACAAAGGAAATGAATCATCTACAGTGTGAAGACTTATATACTGTCAAAGGTGAGGCGCAGCCCACTACTGGAAGTAATGTAATAATATTATGAGAGGACAGATTCGTCTCAAATCCATCACTTCTCATCTCTAACTAGTGGGCAGGCAAGAAAAGCTATCGAAGATGTTTTCTGTAATAAGATACCGGTATCTTTATTGAGGAAACGTTTCGCCACATAGTGGCTTCATCAGTCCATACATAGGAGAAATTTGAAGAACAGGAGGAGAACGAGGTAATCAGTCCCTCAACCTTGAGTCGATGTGGTCAGTCCATCAGTCATCAAGATTGATGGACTGACCACATCGACTCAAGGCTGATGGACTGATTACCTCGTTCTCCTCCTGTTCTTCAAGTTTATCCTTTGCATGGGCTGATGAAGCCACTGTGTGGCGAAACGTTTCCTCAATAAAGATACCCAAGAGTTGCACATGTGTCTAATTTAACAACATGTCGGTTCTCTGAACCATCCATCTACAATAAGATACCGTACTTGCCGGTATCTTGGTACAGTAACCGGCAAGATACCATTATGACAGTTATCCTCCTCCTCTTCTAGAGCAAATTTAGTTGTAAGTTCTAGAGTGTTGATGAGTTTTGAAGGTGTTGAGGATGTCTCGTAAACCCATAAACCAAATGTGCTTATTAGACCCATCACGTCTGGTATTTGCAGCGCCTCACACAAGTTAGCAAGAGTTCTGGCGAAATATTTCAAAACTTTTGGGTACGATCAGCCAGGGTCACCTTAAACACTGGAGTGACCTTAGCCACATGAGTACGATCAGTCAGGGTCACCTTAAACACTTGGGTGACCTTAGCCACAGGAGTACGATCAGCCAGGGTCACCTTAAACACTGGGGTGACCTTAGCCACAGGAGTACGATCAGCCAGGGTCACCTTAAACACTGGGGTGACCTTAGCCACAGGAGTACGATCAGCCAGAGTCACCTTAAACACTGGGGTGACCGTAGCCACTAGAGTGAGCTCCAGGTAACTGAGGTTCACTTGAGAGAGCTCCAGGTGAGTGAGCTCCCTCATATGAGTGAGTTCCAGGTAAGTGAGCTTCACCTGAGGGAGATCCAAGTGAGCTCCAGGTAAGTGAGTTCCACGTGAGTGAGCTCTCTCATGTCAGTGACCTCCAGGTAAGTGAGCTCCACATAAATGACCCCAAGGTAAGTGAGCTCCACGTGATGGAGATGCATGTGAGTGAGCTCCAAGTGAGCTCCACGTGAGTGAGCTCCAAGTAAGTGAGCTCCACGTGAGTGAGCTCCAGGTAAGTGAGCTTCACGTGAGTGAGCTCCACGTGAGTGAGCTCCGCATGAGTGAGCTCCACGTGAGTGAGCTCCACGTGAGTGAGCTCCACGTGAGTAACCTCAAGGTAAGTGAGTTCCTCATGAGTGTCCTCAAGGTAAGTGAGCTCCACATGAGTGACCTCAAGGTAAGTGAGCTCCACATGAGTGACCTCAAGGTAAGTGAGCTCCACATGAGTGACCTCAAGGTAAGTGAGCTCCACATGAGTGACCTCCAAGTAAGTGAGCTCCACGTGAGTGAGCTCCACGTGAGTGAGCTCCACGTGAGTGAGCTCCACGTGAGTGAGCTCCACATGAGTGACCTCCAAGTAAGTGAGCTCCACGTGAGTGAGCTCCACGTGAGTGAGCTCCACATGAGTGAGCTCCACATGAGTGAGCTCCACATGAGTGAGCTCCACGTGAGTGAGCTCCACGTGAGTGAGCTCCACGTGAGTGAGCTCCACGTGAGTGAGCTCCACATGAGTGACCTCCAAGTAAGTGAGCTCCACGTGAGTGAGCTCCACGTGAGTGAGCTCCACGTGAGTGAGCTCCACGTGAGTGAGCTCCACGTGAGGGATAAGAAGCTTGAAACTTTCGAAATTACTGCCTTATTCTTTTTTTATTTTTCATTTATTTATTTATTTTTATTTATTTTTTTTTTTTTGCATTTATATTAGATTTAAAACTCTCGAAAATAATATCTTTTAAGACAGTTCATTTCGATTAAAAAATCCATCGATTCCAGTTTTAAAAATTTATTCCACTGATAAACCTGGCCAGACATAAACTGAAGTGGACGGTAAAATAACCATTAAAAACGGAAGCCATTCACAAGAGGAAGAAATATATTTTGATAGTGATAAACAGAAAGGCTTCTTCAGTCGAATACAGAAAGTAGGCAGGAACAGTAGAGATGTGAAGACGATGTAATCAGTCCATCACCCTTGAAGTCGTAGATTTGAGGTTGTCAGTCCCTCAGCCTGGAGAAGTTCAGTTCCATAGTCAGGAACTTATCTGAAGATCAAGTGACAGTGCGGAGACTTAAATATTGTCGGAAGGAGAGGTGCTGAGTAGTAGTAGTGAGAATGGAACCACTGAGAGGTCACGTCCCTCTCAGATCAAACATTTCTCACTTGAAAAAGTTGTCCAAGGTGTTTTCTGTACCAAGATGCCATGTGTTGCAGTGTCTGACAGGATGAATATCAAAATGGTATACAATACCGACAGTATTTTATTTCTCCGCATTGTCGCTTGATCTTCAGATAAGTTCCTGACTATGGAACTGAACTTCTCCAGGCTGAGGGACTGACAACCTCAAATCTACGACTTTAAGGGTGATGGACTGATTATATCGTCTTCACATCTCTAATGTTCCTGCGTAACTTCTGTATTCGACTGAAGAAGCCTACTGTGTAGGCGAAACGTTTCGGAATGAACAGAAAGCAAAATTTGACTAAATTTTACACATAATATGGTGAAATTTGCACCTATTTACTTGAACGTTTGCTGCTGTGCCGTTGAGGGTTCGGTGAACGTTTGCTGCTGTGCTGTTGAGGGTTGGGATGTTATCAGAACCATTCCAGGATGCTGAGACTGGGTTCAGCGGTACACTTGCACGTCGTTCCTAGACTCTGGCCATGGTTACCATACACCAGCGTTGAAAACTTAAAACAGAGTGCATGACGGATTCTGGAGTTGTGAGCGAGAGAAAAATGAAAAGTTGGAGGAAGGAGAGAAAAGGTCTCCTTGGAGCATTACTGCTAATAATAATAATAATAATAATAATAATAATAATAATAATAATAATAATAATAATAATAATAATAATAATAATAATATTAATAATTATATTATTATTATTATTATTATTATTATTATTATTATTATTATTTTATTATTAATACCAACAATAATAATAATAATACTAATAATAATAATAATAATAATAATAATAATTATTATATTATTATTATTTTATTATTAATGCCAACACTAATGATCATGATGATGACGATGTTGATGATGATGATGATGATCATCATCATCATCATTATCATCATCATGATCATCATCATCATAATTCCATGTCCACAGAGGAAGACCCTACACACTGGATCCCAGACCGACTCAACAGTAAGGACTCGAGGAGGAGGAAGGAGGAGGAGAGGAGGAGAAAGGAGAAGGAGCAGGAGGAGAGGAGACGCTTAGAAGAGAAGAGGATGATGGATCGAGAGCACCAGTGGCGTCACAGGAACGATCCCGTCATCAGGATTAACAACATCACAGGTCTGTTTGTTCTATACACTGAACTTGGAGAAAACGATCACAGATCACTCAGTTTTAACATATTTTGGAATTATCTTAATAACTCTAATCTAGTCAAAGCCTTTGATTTCCATGTAGCCATATTTTATGGGGCTAAGAAATTATCTTAGTAAAGTCGAGCAGTGTTAAGATAAGATAAGATAAGATTTTGTTCAGATTTTTAACCCTGGAGGGTTAGCCACCCAGGATAACCCATGAAAGTCAGTGCGTCATCGAGGACTGTCTAACTTATTTCCATTGTGGTCCTTAATCTTGTCCCCCAGGATGCGACCCACACCAGTCGACTAACACCCAGGTACCTATTTGCTGCTAGGTGAACAGGACAACAGGTGTAAGGAAACGTGTCGAAATGTTTCCACCCGCCGGGAATCGAACCCGGGCCCTCCGTGTGTGAAGCGGGAGCTTTAGCCACCAGGCCACCGGGCCTCTCCTGTACTGAAGACACTGCAAATGGTTGCAAGTATGACATATTTTCGTTATATAAGATGCCCAGGCAAAATACAAATGCAAAATACAAATTTTTATTTACTTGCAGGCTTACATTGTGATTATTTAATTACAAAAATGAGCTGCGGTGCAAAGAGCCACTATCATGCCACGCCATTATGAGCAGACTAACTTTAATGGCTTACACACTACTTAATACTAGACAAATGGATCATAGTTTGTTCAAGTTGTACATTTATTTTTCTATATAGCAAACAGTAAGTTTACTCAAATTACAATAACAGGATATTACAATGGGACAAGTTGAAAGTATATAACAGTAAAAATTTTAAATTACATTATGGGAATATTACAATGTGCGTTGTTGGAAGTACTTAACAGTATGAGAATGTTATAATTGAATGTAAGGCAGTATTGTTATGGGTAGGTATTTATGCTACAATGTAGTATATTAAGTAATGTAATGAACTTTGAGCATCTAATTTTGAAGTTTTGAGATTTAAATAATTGTCAGATATTTAGGTAAAGTTAAGTATTGAGTATTTATTTAATGGTGAGTAAGTGGTTTTTGAGAAGCGTCTTAAATTGATGTACAGAATGTGTTACTTTGGTATTCACTGGTAATGAATTCCAAATTTTTGGGCCCTTTATGTGCATAGAGTTTTTACATAGTGTGAGACGGACACGGGGTACATCAAAAAGAGATCAGTGTCTTGTGTTATGGTCGTGTGTCCTGTTAAGGTTGGTGAGGAGAAGTTTGAGTGGAGGGTTTATGTTTGAGTGTATTGTTCTATATATGTAGTAGGTACAAGAATAAGTATGGATGTTCTTTACGGTGATTAGTTTTAGACTTTTGAATATTAGTGGAGTATGCTGTCTGGAGTGGGAATTTGTTATCATTCTGACTGCAGCCTTTTGCTGGGTTACTAGTTGTCTTAGTTGATTTAATGTTATTGGTCCCCATGCACAAATTCCCTAGGTGAGATAGGGGTAAATGAGTGACACAGTGCAAGGAGAGCTGATTGTGGAACATAGTACCGTATCTTTAATAGTATGTCTACTGTCTTAGAGATTTTCTTGGAAATATATTGTATGTGTGTCTGGAATCTGAGGTTACTGTCAAAGTGGATTCCTAAGAATTTTCCGTCTGTGAGTCTTGTGATGGGTGATCCGTTTAGCGTTATGTTAAGTGGATCATTTGAAGCTCTGTTTCCAAACTGAATGAAATAGGTTTTGTCGGTACTGCAGGTCAGCTTATTTGTCATCATCCAGGTAGACATTTTCTGCAATTCAGCATTAACAGTGTTGGCCAGTATGACTGGGTTTGGGTGAGAGAAGACGTATGTAGTGTCATCTGCAAATAATATGGGTTGCAGTAGGTGTGATGCATTCGGTAGGTCATTGATGTAAATGAGAAAGAGGAGTGGTCCAAGTACACTTCCTTGTGGGACGCCAACTGTAATTGGTTGTGTGGAAGAGTTAACTCCATTTGTGTACACATACTGGCTTCTGTTGCTAAGGTATGACTTTAGGTAGTTGAGGAAGTGCCTTCTTATACCATAGTGTGTTAATTTTATGTGCAACAAATCATGGTCGAATGTATCAAAAGCCTTAGGTAAATAATTGAAGATTCCCAGTGGGACTTCTTTCTTCTCGAGAGCGGAATATATTAGTTCTAGCATGTGTTTAATAGCATCATTCTTGTTTTTAATAATCCTGAATCTAAACTGACAGGGGTTGAGTATGTTGTGGGAGACGAGGTAGGCATAGATCTGCCTATGAATTATTTTTTCAAAGATTTTAGAGAGCAGAGGTAAGTTAGATATTGGTCTATAGTTATTCAGGTCTGCTTGATCTCCTCCTTTGTGAATCGGGGTGACCCTCGCTATTTTGAGAATTGATGGAAAGGTGGAGGATTCAATGGATTTGTTAAAGAGTGTTGCAATAATTGGTGACAATACTTGAGAAGCATTTTTGTACATAAAAGATGGTAAGTTACTTATATCTCCTGCCTTGTTTTTAAGTGTGGTGATGATGAGCGAGACTTCTGTTAGGTTGGTCGGAGCGAGGAACAGTGTATTCGGGTAGGTGCCTGTTAGGTAGTCTGATGGACGGGTGTTTGAGCTTGGGATTCTGCTCGCTAGATTCTTTCCTATGGTGGAGAAGAAAACATTGAGTCTGTTTGCTGTTTTAGTCGGTGTGAGTAGGGGTTCATCTGGCTTTGTTAGTTTGATTGTTTTATTTTTGGATATCTTTTTAGCTCCTAGAATTTTAGATAAGGTTTTCTACGTCTTTTTCATATCACCTTTCACGTTATGTAATCTGTTGTCATAATACAATTTTTTTGACCTTATCAGGCTGGTTAGGGTTGACGAGTAACGTTTAGTTTGGTCTCTAGTTATTTGTCCTATTCCAACTAGGAAAATTAGATGAATAAAAATGAACCTAAAGTGATAATAAAACATCTCAAAAATCAAAATAGTGGGATTGACAGGCTGAAAAAGGACACTTCAGGAACATTATATTCAAGTAAAGGGACGAAAAAAAAAAGCCAAGAGTGATTATGCAATTAAATCACAAGGTAATGGGCCCACAGATGCCTCAAAAGCTAGGGAAGCTGGTCCAGAGCATCACTTGGGGAACCTTGCCACTTCCCTAACTTGATTTCGAATCCTGTTGACTATGATCTTTCTTTGTATATACTTCCGCTTGTTTCTTTCTAGTGCACTGATATAAAAAATCGCATGTGAAGTCAGAAAATACAGGAGGAGAAACAAATAGCCTGAAACCAAGTTTCAGACCCACTGGTGTACCCAGCCTGGGAGAAACATGGCTTGTAACCAGGTAGTGTAACTTTTGAGCAGTGGCGGCTCGTGTATAGGCACTGCGGAATTGCAACACCCCCTATTTTCACTCGATATTGTCGATAACATTCAATGTGAGTTGTGTTTTCTTTAATTCTTTCTTTAAACTTGTACATTATATAATCCTTAAGCTTAATGTCAGTAGCCATCCCCTAGTACATGAAAAAATTACAAAAAAACCTTGTAAGGAACTGTGCACTTCACAGTGTACTTCACAGTTCCAGCGACTCGGTGTTTCCCCGTTGTGCGCATGCGCAGATGTCCAAGATAAGACGCTACACGCTAGAGAGAGCACTGTCGCTGACGCAGTGCCGAACATGTTGTGCAAGTGTACATAAGAGCATAAGAATGAACACTGCAACAGGCCTACTGGCCTATGCGACGCAGGTCCATTTCTCCCACCAGCTTATGACCTAGTGAGGTCAGACAAGTCACTTAATTAAGGGAGAAGCACGGCATCCCACCTAGTAGCACAAGCTAGTCAGGTCCAACTCCCACCCACCCACACCCACTCTATTTTTAAAACTTCACAACGATTTAGCTTCTATGACGGTATTCGGGAGTTTGTTCCACTCGTCCACAGCTCTATTACCAAACCAGTGCTTTCCTATATCCTTCATGAATCTGAATTTTTCCAATGTAAAGCCATTGCTGCGAGTCCTGTCTATGTTACATATTTTTATCATGCTATTTGCATCCCCTCTATTAATTCCTGTTGTCCATTTATAAACCTCAATCATATCCCCCCTAATTCTACGCCTATCGAGAGAGTGCAGATTCTGGGCCCTCAGTCTATCCTCATTGGGAAGATTTCTGATACATGGGATCAACTTTGTCATCCTCCTTTGTACGTTTTCCAGTGCATTTATATCCATTCTGTAATACAGTGACCAAAACTGCGCAGCATAATTTAAATGAGGCCTAACCAAAGATATATAGAGTTAAGAAACAACCTGAGGACTTCTATTATTTATACGTCTTGCTATGAAGCCAAGGATTCTGTTAACTTTTTTGCCAAAACTTATGCACTGTTGTCTTGGTTTCATATTACTGCTAACTCAGCGACGTGTGTTGTGCTTAAAAATCATGTACCATATTCTTGAATGTGATCAAGTGTAGAATTAGATTATTATCAAGCTTCCAGCTATTTTATTTAATTAAGGAGAAAATTATTAATCTGTTCGCTTAAAGTAGAACAAGAAGAATGGATTTCATTTTTAAATGAATGGATCAAGCTTGAACTGTAACAATTTGGGTAAGGAAAAAAAAATTGTTTATGATTTTATCAAGTTTATGCATAAATTTTATTTTTACATGCTTGTTTCGTTTTACATAATATTAAAACAATGGCTAAAATTTTTCTGAAGGAGCTCCTCCACTAATTTTAGCTACGAACCACCACTGTTTTTCGAGGCATCTGTGGCCGAGTGGTCTAGAGCAGCATTTAGGGAACCTTGTCACTTCCAAGACGTGGTTTCGAATCCTGCTGACTACGATCTTTGATCGGTCTCTCTGTAAATATATATATATATATATATATATATATATATATATATATATATATATATATATATATATATACATGTCCTGGGGACCCCTCATTCTCAGAGAAAAGAATAAACTAGCTTCAAGGAAAACTCGAGGTTCTTCCTGAAGCTGTTTGAGAATTTTCTCCTACCACCCGCTATATTTAATATACATTTTATTTAAAGACAAACTACATCAACAAAACATTCACAAAAATATAATAGAAAGTAAAACAACCTAGATAACAACTCAGAGCTACATCTCGAATACTTCGTCCAGCTCCCTGGCGGTGGGCCGCGTGCCCAAAATGCTGCAGGCATTTCCTCTCTGGATCGCAACACTGAGTCTCTGAAAGAGGAAGCTGGTCGCCCTTTGATCCTTGGTTTCTATGATGAGCTTTTCACCCAGATCTTTGAGGAAATTTAGAGCACACTTGCCCCATGCTCCAAGGGTCTCCGTCCCTATTGGGATGAAGTTATAGCAAGGGGGAAGGTATTCATATTTGCGGATCTTCTGGGTCTCCCTGTGGCTGGCAGCTCCACCCCCTGCCACTACAGAGTATGGCAAGTAGGTGTCTGCATATGTGGCGGCACAGGTGTAGTCCCAGGACGCTTTTGACTCCTGTCAGACCTCTGCACTTGGGGTTCCCGTTGAGATGGGCAACGGGCTGTAGCGAGGCTTCTCTTTATGAAGTCACTGACCTCCTCATGTCTGGCATACTTCTGATGTGTGACACACGAGACCATGAAGTCCGAATTGATCAGCCGTCGC